GAAAAACATCTTGACAATTTATAAAAACAAAACCAGGGATATAGTGTTAGACAGATATAACTCTTATACTGTCTGTAAGACACAATAAATGGTAAAATTTGGACTGTTCTGTTAAAATTCGTTTCTTTTTTGTCCAACAAAACAAAATTTTTTTCAGCGAATTATTTCTATAATCATCGAAATTACTTTACCACATTAAAACATTTCCCCTTATACTGATGAAATACTTCTTTTATATTTCCATAAAAACAAAATCTTACAATATATAAATTTAAACATTAACCGTCTGCAAAATCATATGGCCAGTTAATCAGTTAAAAAAACAAAAACGCTTCAGCACATAAGTCCCCGCTCTAATACCACGCTTAATAAACCGTACCTTCGGATGATTCTGAATGCCAAGTGCAGGAAAAATAGCTGCACTTGCCTCAGTGCTATAGTATGCTGTGCTTCTCCAGTAGCCCATACATATAAAGCGTGATTTTCTATTAGTGCGCAGTGTGTACACATCAAAATTTCTTATGTTCGTTTGCTTTTGAACGCGCTACGTGGTGCAGCATGCGCTACGTGGTGCAGCATGTACCGCATGCACCGCGGGAATACAAGCAAGCAAAGCAACATAATATTTGAGTATATTATAAACTATACTTATTATATACTATATAAAGATAGGTACAGAAAATTATTGTCTCTCATAATTTTGCCAGGGTGTGCCGTGCACACCCTGCACATATGGACCGCACGCCACTGGTTTTAAGTTATCATTATTCTAGTATTTTTATTTGTACTCATGTATATTTTAATCTGGTAAAAAGAGTATTCTTAAATTGTTAAAGCCTTATTTAGCTGGTGGTTCTTGAAACTGTTTTTGTAACAGAGACAGGAAATGTTTGTGAGGAGACACCTGTTTTATGGCCTTTTACTAACAGTGGAAGCCGTTAAGGTGTTGTGTTGTGTTGTGTTGTTGCTTTTCTTTGCTGATGGCCTTTTTACTAATGGCACTGAAAAAAAAATCGTAAGCCATCTTTCTCATTTCTCACTTGCTTTTATATTTGCAATGTTTCTTTCAGTAAGCTTAGGTAACCGGATTTCTTATCACCAGTTTCTGCTTGTTAGCTGGGAGGTTTAATTCCCATGTTTTTTCCACAGTACAGATGGTCAGGATTGTCTAGTTGTGATTTGTTGTGGGGGCAAAATTTCTCAGTTATAGATAAAGTTAAATTCTAGGTTTGGTGAGATTTAATTTTATAATTTTTTGGCAAGCCTATGAAATTTCTGGGGGCAGAGAGATCGAGTTTACTTTGCTTGCACATTGTACAAATTCATTCAGATTTAAAAAAAAAAAAAAAAAAAAAAGGAAAACGAGAAGCAGAAAGCGGCGGCAGGGCTTCCCCTTTGATGGGTGAGCGCTGGCTGTTGATTCAGATTTCGGAGCAGAGTTCGATATGGAGTGATTTGAGTTGCAGCATTTTAAGTCTCGTAAGAGTGCACAGGGGCTTTAGCTCTGTGGCGGGCTTCGGCCCAAGCGGATCGGGATTGCATTGACTAGGCTACTAGAAGAGCATTTTCTTCTAGAAAGATTTAAAATAAAGTGAGTACTTTACCGACAACCTTTAGCACTGATTACTTCTGGTACCTTCTTCTTTATTCTTTGAGAACTCTCTGCCGTTATGAACGCAGCACCAAAGGCGAATTATTTTAAAATCTGTGAGGAGTATCTGGTGCGGTGCGGGTTTCGAAAACGGTTCTTTAGAGGTCAAAGGAAAATATGAAAGAAGAGGTTTGGATTACTAAGGCTCACCTATCTACCAGTTATGCTGACTACCTCCCACAACAGAGTTGTGACTTCAAGGAAAAAAAAAGAGACTTTCTATGTGAGTAGAAGGATTGTATGTTTCGGAAGAAATCTACCACGAAATCCACGAAAAGGAAATGAATGAATTCATGAAAATGAAAGAGACTTTTCTCTGTGAGTAGAAGGATTGTAATGTTCCTAAGAAATCTAAGAGATAAAATCCAGGAAAGGAAAGAGACTTTTCCCTGTGACTAGAAGGATTGTATGTTTCAGAAGAAATCTAAGAGATGAATTCGTGAAAAGGAAAAAGACTTTTCTCTGTGAGTAGAAGGATTGTAATGTTCCTAAGAAATATAAGAGATAAAATCCAGGAAAGGAAAGAGACTTTTCCCTGTGACTAGGAGGATTGTATGTTTCAGAAGAAATCTAAGAGATGAATTCGTGAAAAGGAAAAAGACTTTTCTCTGAGAGTAAAAGGATTACATGTTCCAGAAAATCTGTGAGTGATTGTCTTAAAATTTTTATTTACTTTGAATTACCATGCTGATTATTCTTAATAACCAGGCTAGAGTTGTTAGTTTAACGTTTGCTAAAATTTGAATATGATATTGTAGGGTTAAATTTGCTTAAAAATTAATTAATCGTTACACTGCAAATTTCATTATTCTTAAAGGAAATTATCTTGATTAATACTTTATGTCAAAAATGAAATGAGTTAAATATTAGTGTTACATTTATGATACTGTAGGATTTGAAAATGTTAACTTAAATTAATGTAGGCTGTAATTTGGTGTGATATTCTGTGTTATTTTGCATAGTATTATTATGGTAGGGAACTGATCAGTTTACCCACTTATGTTATAGTGTTCTAGAAATCAATAAATGTGTGTGTTTAAAATTTAATTGCATTTGTGTATTTATCTTGTGTGTATATTTTTACAGTGGTCTGTCATGTCACTCTATTTGTTTGAGCCTTGAGGCTTTTTAAGAAACATGGAGCTTTACTGAATTTGGATTATTGTTTTTCCCTGGTGGGCTTCACAACATGCCCTATTGTACTAACCCATTACCACTATATGATTGTTCTTATGATACATGATGAATATTTATTTTGAGAGTTTGTCCAGCACCATAAGTCAGTTAAGATGAGTCAAAGTTAAAAGTCATAAAATTTAAAAACCCAATAATTTTCAGCTTCGCAACATCATCATCATCTTGAGAAAATGCGACAGGAAAATAACTGCCTACATCTATCCTCTTCAATAACACTAATCATCTCTGAATATGTAAATTCAAGATGCATAACACAGGTGCCACACTTGTATTAAAACCAACAGAATCTTTGTCACTCAACCCACTTCCTACAAACATGGTTATAGGGTTCAAATTATGCCAATAATAATGTAAAATAACATTCTTTGTAGCTTACCAGGAAACAAAGTAAATACGGCAATCATCAATGTGAATTGTTTCTGAAAACCATGGACACTACTTCCAAAGTTCACACACGATGCATTTAAAGAGATTAATAGTTCATCCTTATATTCTAGATACTAATTCCTTGATTCATTAGTTGCATAAGACTTGTTACCTTTGGAGCAGGAAGCATAATACAGTCAAATACCAAAAACCCACTGACCTGAAATCCGCGTTGCTTCTCAAAATATAAACATTTAGTTTATAGGTTGCGGAAATTGCAACATAGAGTACAAAATATCGAAGAAAAAATACTTACCGAATAATAATGAGTCATAACGTAAATACCAAATTATTGACCTCATGATCAGAGTTTTCCCCCTCCAATCTGCATCGAGGTAAAAAAGCAGACAGCTAAATCACCTCTTCTTTTAAGTTCACGTTTCCCGTTGTTGTACTTTCTGAGCTTTGTTATTTCACAGGATTGTTTAGTGATGTTGTTTTTTTCATCCGAATATTTTGTGGATAAATTAAAAATATTTTAAATTTAAGTGCTTTTTAATATAATGACAGATAAGAAATGCACTTGTGATTTTACTGCTTGCAACGTTGAAAAACATAAACACGTTGCATTGATGGTAATGAAAAAAGTGGAAATTCTGCTAAAGATGGAGGCAGGTGCTACTGCTCGGTTTATAGCTGAATCATATGGTATTGCCACACGGACTGTGTATGATATATAGAACAATAAAGAAAAGCTGTTGAAATTTTACAGCAACAGTGATTCTAACACCAGAATCCGAAACCGAAAATCTTTACATGAGGCGAAATCAGGAAACCTTGATGCTGTCTTGTACGAGTAGTTCCGGCAGTGGCGGAGTGATGGAGTACCTATTTCAGGATTACTCCTGAGAGAAAAGGGGAAGCAGATCCACGCTGATTTAAAAATAGAGGAGCCTAATGTAAATGAACAATATAATATAATAAGTTTATATATGTAATAATAATTTAATGCATATAATTAATTATTGTATTAATGTATATAATGATTTAATTAAACATATCTAATACACTTATTTATTTTGCACTTTTAGTCTGAATATTATCTTTTCTGTCCTGAAATTCGCAAAATATTAAAATCCACACAACCTCTGGTCCCAAGCGTTGCAGATTTCTGGACTTCTACTGTACAAATATTTTTATCATTTAGATCACCATTTTTTAACCTTAAGACTATTGGCCCATTACATACTTTCTTAGCTCACAGTCCTAACATTGTCGTTCCTAGTGGGGATGCAGCACATAAAAAAGTGTGGGCAGCGAAAATCAGGGGCTGCTGGATTCTCATGTTACCACGATTAAATATTTTAAATTCATTAAATTCATTGTAAGTACACTTTACACAGTTTGTTATATGCAAGTATGAAATAAAAATTTTACTGATCATTGAGCCTTTTTTTTTTTTTTTTAAATATTTTTGGGGCGGCAATCCAAAGAAAGTACGCGGGCAGCCAACGACCCTGAGGCCTAAATTTCACATTTAAATGCAGACGTTCAAAACTGCTACTATTTTAATATTGCAAATTATAAGAAATTTTAATGCAATGTCAAAATTCACTAAAATAACTTATTACAAATATGTGATAACATGACAAAACATAGTATCAGACAGATCAATTTATCATTCCTAATTTCTTTTCTTGGATTAAAACCTGCTTATTGTATTCCATAAATTTAGCTAGCATACCATAAACTATGTTTTTAATAAAAATTACTGACCCATACATACCAGTAGTTTAGAATGTGTGGCAAATATTAACAAGGATCCAGAATAATTCCAACAACAAGAGGTAAATCTGTTAAAGAAATAAGTCATAAATAAAGTACTACAGCTTTAACCTGATTTAACAGATCAATTCTAAAATTAACAGCTTAAAATATTCTTCACCTTTCACTTCCAGAGAAGCTTTTTAACTTTTCCAACGAACCCTTTTTTGATTCATTACTAAATATAAATGCTTCATTCTGGCATACTGTACAAAGAATATTGTTAAGAGGGTGCCAAGATAAGCCTACAAAAAAGGAAGGGGGAAAACGCAGAATAAAAGCTACATTCCATAACAAGATGTAATAAAGTGACAATATTCAGATTTTTTTAACTTGAATAATACCTAAAAATGTTTAAAAGTATACTTCTTAAATCAAGTATTTCCCCATCTAACGAGAAGGAATTAGCCATTGCTATAAATTTAATAAATAAAAGAAATGCATGTAGCAGTAAAGAAGTAAATATTATTTTCTTTCATTGTTCTAATTTATTCAGTTATTACAGAATAATACTCTTGAATATCTCTCGCATATAAAGTACATCATACACTAAAAAATATTTTTTAATATACAAAATGGCATTCTTAAAAAATACATATTTTAGCAAACCATTTCTAAGAAATCCACATAAATCTCACTTGAACTAGTGAGAGACATAAATAACTTGCCTAATTTATGAAAAAACAGCCCAGTATATCTTAGAGTATAGGTAAATTATTTATTACAATAAAAAATTAAGGCTATCTATATGATTAGGATGTAATGTCTTTATATAAAGCAAATGTTAAGCATATTTTATCCACTTAATAATTTCATGACAACAAACAATTAGATATACCTAAAAAATTAATGAAATGGATACGGAAAAGAATATATGACTTTTTAAGTGGGTACTGATGATAAGAATATAAAAAATATTAAATAAAATTTTAAAAATCCATGTTCAAATAATTTTTAAAAACAAATACTGCTAAAAGTAACACCATCAATTCCTAAACTATTCTGTGATTTTATTTGCTAAAATATTCTAGGAAATGAAACCAAATGAAGATATAAAACTGACCCTAGTTTTCTTAATCATACAGCGTAATAAAAAAAAAAGCTATTGAAAAAGCTGTTGAATTTTATTCAATCTATAACAACTAACTGTTTTCACAAAATTAAATTTTTTACTTTTATGTTTATATTTGTAATTTATTTTTTGCTCATTATTAAATTATATAATTATTTTATCATGTCCAGTTTTAAATAAGATATATATATGTGTGTGTGTGTGTGTGTATAGAAATATTCATTCAATACTTTATTTGTTTACAGCAATAAAATATATTTTAAAAATCTGCTTCATTTTAATTCAAAATACAAATAATTAAGAAAATCAGACTTCAAAAATTATATATAATAATTATTATAAGCGATACCTATAACCTTTATCAAAGGTTCAAACATTTTAATATGCAGATACTTTTCTCAAAGCATATTTATACTGGTTAGTTGATTAATTAATTATAGCAAAGCATTCAACAGCTACTTGCCTAAAAAGACAGGAAGCTCTCAAGAAAAAAATGATAACAGCAGAAAATTAGCTCATACTTTTGTTTACATTTGAATAAAAGATGAGAATTTCATTCATGAAAGCCATTCTTTACAGTAAAGCTTGACTATCCAGAAACTCAGGAAATATTGAATTCCAGAGATGCAAAAATTCTGGATTACTAACCATATAAAAAATGTAATTCAAAGTAGAAAAGCTAAATGAATAGAAGAAAAAAAAATTCCAGTCTAAAATCATAAAAAAATTTATTTGTTATCAATTTGAATATCAGATGCCTACATTTAAATTGTGTGAGATTTTAGAAGGAAAAAGGACATTTCAGACATAAAAGCCGAAGCAAAATAATTACAAAACTTTTCAATTCAATTACAAAACTCTATCGATCATAAAAATTAGTGTGGAGATCTCTCCAAAATTATGCCAGTCATTCTGGCAGAAGTTTGAAGGAACAGATCGATCTTTATTTAGTTAATCAATGAACAGATGTTAACATACAAAAACATTAAGTTATGTATATAACATATAAAAAACATAAATCGCTTGCCATAATTATCCATGTTGCACAGCATGCGTTTATATATTTCAAGCAAGTTGAACTTTTCTTAATGAAAGGATGACACAACCTTAAAATCCTATTCTAGCTATTAAGTTGAAGACAAGTCTCAAATTTTAAACTTGTTTGCAAATTGCAACTAAAAAACAGATAAATGGCAATTAACTTTATTGTTTTACACAAAAATTAAACTGATTTACCAACAATTAATCAGGTTCCCATAAAGAGAAAATGTTACATCACATTTATCGATTACAGTGTTAAATCACACTGTTTGGCAAGAGTTTTTGTTTGATTCAAATCATATTCTATTTGTGCTTTATAATAGAGTTACAAATTTCTTATTTTCTTAATTTTACATAAAAAAAGTTCCTACAATTCGAAAATATTCCAGTTACTTGAATGCCAGGTAGTTGGGCTTTATTGCAGTTTAATAAATTAAATAAAATTTCTTTAAATATTGTATAAGAATTCATCACTAGAAGGCAATCATAAAGTGTCCTAATTCATTTTTCATTTAGACACATAATTTTCTATTCTTGTTATTTTTCTTACCTTTCTTTTCATGAATCTTGTCATTTATTTTTCTGTATTACATTTCTAAGAAAAATTCGCCATTTTCCAGATATATGAGACAACATTTCTAACAAGCAAATGAAGGAAGATGCCCTTTCCAATTTTTGTTAATCTTTCTAAAACTCTAATAATCTTTCAGCTATTTAAATTGGATCAGGGTTCGTAGCCATATTTTAGTTAAAAAAATAAGCACCTATAAGGACTTTTCAAACACATTTTAAGGGAAAAAAAATAAGTACCTGTCTAATTACATTATAGACAACTGCATAACCTTAAAAAAAAAAAAAAAAAAAAAAAATTAGACTTGTAATTTAAAATATGAGAAATTCAAAATACGAGAGAGAATGAGCATTACTCAACCATGGAAAACAATTACATTCTTCTTTTTTTTAATTTTAAATAACAGTTCAATTTATAGAACTAGTTTACAATGAGAGGAAAAAACTATGCAGAACTAAATTATATTACAAGACTTGATGATGAAATTTCAGCTCAAAATAGAGAAAATAAATAATAATAAGCCATATTTATTACATTCGCTTGGCACCTATTTATTTTTCCACTCATATTAATATTTAAATAATTTCACTTAAATCAAAATTCTGAACATTTTCTAAATTTGCATTGTATAACAGTTTTCCCTTAACAGGTATTGCAAGTGAAGTAATTTAAGTAAAAATAAGTAAAAAAAGGAACTTTTCTGAAATCAGAAGATGAGAAATTGCTTCATGCAATCATTCTTTAACAGTAAAAGCTTAACTAAACCAGCATACTCGGAAATTCCCAAATATCTGAAAATTCCGCATAGTCAATTCCGGATAAAAGAGGAAGGGGATAGATTGTAGCCGTCCTTTGGATTTTTCAGCTAAATAATGCTTTTGACATTTTTATATGTGCATCATATAAAAAATAGCTTAATGAAACTGAAAAATAATCTGCTTAGCAAGCACAGTAAAACTGTTTTATCTCTCTGAAATATCGCAAACGTTATTGCACAATATGTGCACCTTAATTCTTCCGCATGTGATATTGCGCAATCGGAATCAACGGCTGCCAGTATTCGGAGAATAATTAACTAAATAAAGGAAAATGCCCCTTTGCTTCGTCTGGTTTTCACCACTGTGCGCCCATGTGGCATATTTATCACTGAGCAGGACACGTGACGCTCTGTGCGATATCCCTGCCATACTCATATTGATTAATAAAGAGATTTATCAATCTGGGATATTTTTCATTCTAATTTTGAACAGACTGCATTAAATTTCCGGAATAGAATCATTCTTCGCTTGGGTTGGTAGACCACAGAACTTTTAGTTCTATTCAACCCAGGCTGGAAAGTGACAAAAAAAAAAAAAAAATCTGAAATGTTTCAGATTTTAAATTACGTCCAAAGGGGCGATTTTTTAACATTTTGTGTGTTACCTTTCTTTATTAAATATCATGTTCCTCGCACTTAAACCATAAGATCCAGTGCAACAGCAATATCGCAAAATAGTTTTAAAACGAGCATATCTTTAGAATTTTCGATACAGAGACTCACGCGCTGGAGATAAAAATGTTTTTTCTGCACAACGTTCCATTGCTCGCTTTGAAATCCTTGAGTTTGTTAATCAAAAATTCATCAAAAGTTTTAAAAAATAGGAAATCGATCATAAAAAAATTTCAAATTTGGTCTTTCCACATGCTCATATTCGTTGGAGGATTACGTTATTCAAAATTCGATGACTCTATGTACCGTTATTTTATGACAATGTGAGAAATATACATACATTTACGCAGATTTTCATTATTTAATTTCTTCAAATATAATGCAGGACTCTTAACATTTTATGGCAACAGTTTGAAAAGTGAACCGACATTTATCCGTCCGACGCAAAATGCCAAAACGAAACTAATAGTCCTTCGGGATTCAAATCCCTTTGGACTAAAAAAAAAGAGTCCATTGCTTTTCTTGCTGCGAACTGTAACGGTTTCAATATTCGAGATTTTGCGGAGAAAGGGGAGAACTCCCAACTTCCATACAGTATAATGCATTGGCAAAAAAAATATTTTTTTTTTACTATTCTATTACTTTCACTTTATTTATGCCATTCCGAATATTATTCCTTAGAAAACTAACCTGTGTTAAAACACAATTACTCATTTTTGAAGTTTATCTATATTTCAGCAGTTACTGTAAATATATTAGTATTATAAATATTCATACATATGCTCATAATATAAGCATACTGATAAAAATAAATGCGAATATGAACTGAACACATGGAACGAGAATGTAAATTATTAAAATCTTGATAGAAATTCAAACGTGTGTAATACTGAATGGGAGCAAAAGAATACGGAATGTACAGGAATTGTCTACTGCTTTTGCAATTCTTTGACCAATAGAGCGATGTGCACCTGTCTGTACTCGCATGCACCAAAGGTTATGTTAATGCAGAGAAAGGGGCGAAAAGCTATTTCTGGGAGTATGATTCACCATCTGACGTTCCATATTATGTCCAAAAGGGCCTTTTTTAACGTTTTGTGTTTTATCTTTATTTATTAAATATTACACCAGGTTAACGATAAAACGCGGGGACCCCTTTTACGAACCTGTTCAAGTTTGCCGAGTCGATGTTCCATATAAGAAAGAAAAGTTGTTTATTTAGTTTCAGCTTTTTTATGGAGGAAAAATGTGCGTTCATTAAAAAAAAAAAAAAAAAAAAAAAAGCACTATAAGCAAAAAAATAAGCACTGAAAACAAAAAAAATAAGTGCTTTAGAGAAAAAGTAAGCGCCTATAAGGGCTTTTATACTTTATTTTCAAATATAAGGACTGATAAACACTTGTAAGGACCGCTACGAACCCTGTAGATTTCACTTTCAATTAATAATCCAACAGCATTTAATTTCAAACTCTTATAATTCTACTTTGTTTTCATTAAAATTTTTGTTTTCATAAAACAGGAAAAAACTAAAGAACTAACTTTACTTCAGTGAAAACAGAAATAATAACAAGAAGAAGAGAAAGAAATGAATCTTTAATGATAGATAAAATTAAAAATTAGCACTGTTTTTCTTTTATTTATTTAAATTCATACCATGTTAAATATTCTCCCAAAACCTTAAAAAAGTAACTCCATATAATTTAAATCCTCAACAGAAATTTTTTATGAAACACTTCACACTTTCCTAATACATACATAATAAACAGACAAATTTGAAACTGATATTCTACATAAGCAATAATTATTCAATTAAATTTTTCCTTCATATCAACAAAATTTCTCCATAACAACTTTCTTTCTTGTTATGAAATATCACAAACGAAAACTATTACATAAAATAAAGTTTAATGAAATAATCATTTATGTCACAGAATATTACATACAATTAGAAGAGATTAAATCAGGGATTCCCAACCCTATGCCTGCAGGCACCAGCTGACTGTTTAACATGCTCCCGCCGCTGTGCGATGACAATAAAAATGTTTTAGTTTTCAATAAAATTTTATGTGAAAAGTTTTCTCATTTTAATGAAATAGAAATTGCATCCTACACAGATACCAGCATAAAGTAAAATGTGGCCGACCTCTTTTTTTTTTTATGTGCATGTATTATTAACTTTATCCAACTGTAAATTAACCTAAATAAAAAATAAATGGTGCCCACCATCCAAACAGATATTCTAGAACATGCTCTCAAGGTCAAAAAGTTTGGGGACCCTTGGATTAAATATTCAAAGTAAAAATATCTACATCAAAAAATGTAAAAAATATGTCTTAGTACTAGAAAGAGATATATTTTTTTCCTATATATTAATTTAGGATATTTCAATAAAAATGTGATTAAATTAAAAACAATACGAAAACGTAACAAAAGATAGCAAGTGTATGTTTCTTAACATGGCAATTATACTCTATATTAAAATTCCATACAAATTGGAAACTGCTGAAAAATTACACACAAAAAAATTACATCATTTTAAAAAATACATTAAGTTTATTTTATTACCTGAAAATTTATTGGGAAGAAAAAAAATTACTTTTCTAAGAAGTAGTGGCTATTTTTACAGTGATTGTACCCACATTACAATAGATTTTCATTTCAAAATATTCTTTTCCCTACCTTGTCCTTGAGGTAAAGGATTTCCACATATATATGCATCATTTGCTTTTTGGAATGGTTCATTCAGCTCTTCTTCAAGTGCTTCCCACACTGAGACTTTTAAACCTGCCTCTGAAGATGTTATTACTGCTACATAACAGTGATTCAAGTAACATGGACTACAACTGATATCATGAATAAGCCTAATAGAAAATGAGTAATAAAACATGGCTATAAAATAAATCTCAAAATTATATAAACAATAATTATAATTCTAATAAATAAATGACTTACCCAACATTTTCAAGTTTTAATACTTTTGGAAGTAGATAACTCTGGTCATCAACAGAAGATATGGGCAGGAGGAAAACTGAGGCTCCATCACTGTAAAGTAGCCCCCAAATTGGGTTCACACCTAATATAAAAATTTCTTCTTTTAATATAAACAGAAAAAAACTATGTTTAATATTTTGTAAGAAATAATAAAACATTAAACTTTTCGAAACACAACTTTTACTTCTGGGATGCCAAGAACTATTTACAAAGAAGCAAGTCATTTCTCATGAAGATTCTACATGCCCATCCAATGATGGTATTTTTGCTGCAGTGTCTGCAAATGTTTAAGAGGAATTGTTCATAGCCTCTGAGTAAACCTCTTTATGCAGGTCCATAAACTAATCTTTGAGAGGGCATACTGGACCAACCAAGTTGAGATTAACATATATAAAATATTTACTTGGAAATCACTGGACAGACTCTCAAAATATACTTGGATCTTCATCCATTGTCACTGCAGACGTCTAGTTTATCAAATCTGCCTTCATACAAGCAGGCATAGCATTGTTACACAAGCTTCTTAATGGTATATATTTAAAAATGACAAAAATCTGATGTGCTCACCACATGACTTCCTAGTACGGCCTATTAAATTATACATATTTTTTGCTGCATTTCATTTAAACTTATTTCATTAGAGATATATTTCCCATTCAATTAATTCAATTCTCACTTTGTAGCATAGCAAAAATACATAAAAACTAAATATCTTCATTAAAAATTGTAAAATAGAAAAAAACATATAACACCAAATACAGTTAAAAAATTTTTTTTTAAATAATTAAAATTAAAATTAGATATCCTACTCAAAAGCAAGCAATTTGACCAACATGCAAGAAGGCAGATTTTTCTGTGCACAAAACTATAAGTTTACTTTTGGCCCCACTCGGCAAAAAGACATTGAAGGTGCAGATGACTTAAATTATTATTTTACATTGTTTCAAATGTAAACAAATCACGATTCATTACGCTTAATTCGTAACTTAAACTTTTAAATTGTTGATAATTCTATAACTATTGCATGCAAATTAACTAAAGGCATAAAAACTTAACAAGAACATAAAAACTAAATAATTCAATCACTTTTAAAGCAAATAATGCACAATTTACCAATATATATGAATAAACAATCTACACTGACTGAGCCAGGTTACAGAGTGAGAATATATATACGTATATAGAAATGTTATCTTCTGAATCCATTTTAAATCCATTTATTCAGTTTATATATATAGATGTAGTGCAAAAACATTGTTTAAATGGTTTCGAGACCCCAAAAAATGAATATTTTCGTTGAAATATGACACCCAAACTTTTTCACGATTACAATACTTCCTTTACTTCGTACAAGATCATTGTGTACATGGGGAGAACAACAATGCAAAACAGAAAGATTTCTCGAGAAAAGTCAATGTTTCTCGCTTTTTAAATTTTATTGACTGCAGTTGTATCTTGGTGTGCCACTATTTTGAAAATGGGTGCTGCCTTTTGTGCATATGTTCGGCGAAAAATTTGCCCTAAATAAATAATTCACTAAGGCTCTCTTGAGTCTCTAATGAATTCGCAATTTTTCAGTAATGGTATGGTTAATCAGAAAATACCAAATGATCTTTGTTGTCAATTCTGCATAATCTTTCTTTTATAGATGTACTCAAAGTTACAAGTTAGTTTATATTTCTTTGATAGATGTACTCAAAGTTACTAGTTTATATTTCTTTGATAGATGTATTCAAAGTTACACATGTATACAAAGGAACAAAAGAGTGATTAAAAGATTTTGAAATTCTATTTTCAATATCTTTTAATCACTGTTTGATTTCCTAGATGATTTGAATAGATAATACTTAGAGACACCAAAAAATAACTTTCATTTTTAAATCAAAGTCTGAAATTCTAAGTATATGGGTAGAAGCATTATTGCTTATTTACATCACTTTCAAAAGTAAATTTTAAAATTGGCATTAAGCCTTAGCTACTGGAACAAAATGATACTACCTAGCATTCAAGATCAGAAATTATCAAATGTATGCAAAAAAATTCCTCACGACACATAAAAATCTCTTCTCTGCAGTTTGGGTAGGGGCCACTAAATGCATAAATATGGTATTACTGTATTATACTAAAATAAGAATTTTGAAGTAAGAATTATATAAAAACTGTTGGAAACTGAGCAGAATTTTAAAACAATAAATTTAATTTTTCATCAAAATATAGCTATTTAAGATTTCGAGATTGTATTATTTAATTAAGGCAAAGCACACAAAGGCTAACTATCTAAATACCATCCTAATTTTGGCTAAGCATAGTAAGAAACCTCAGTTTAGTACTTAATATTGATTACTGCCAGGAAATCTCAACTGACACTGCAATCATTTGCCAGGGTCTACTTCCTTGCTGCTATCATGCCTTCAGCCTCTGCTGTCTTCTTTCAGCATCCTCTTCAATCTTGTTCTGCTAGTTTTAATATACAGTAAAAGCCCAACTATCTGGCATTCAACTAACCAAAATGCTCAAATAACTGAATATTTTCAGAAACTTATTTTAGTGTAAAATTAAGCAATTAAGACATTTGTAACTCTGTTATACAGCACAAATAGAACTATGATTCAAATTAAACAAAAATTGCCACGAAAGAATATGATTTAGTACCAATAATGGATAAATGTGATGTAACACTTTTTCTTTATGTGAACCCATATAATTCTTGATAAGTTGGTTTAATTTTTGTATAAAACGATATAAGTTAATTGCTGTTTATTCTTTTCTCAATTGCATTTTGAAAAAGTGATTAAAATTCGTGACTTGCCTTCAATAAAATAGCATGGAGTAGAAAATTTTAAGTTTATGGAATCCTGGCATCAAGATGTTCGACTTACGTGAAAATATTTAAACACTGGCTATCAATGTAAAAAATTATATTAAGTGCTTTAAGTTTTTTACATGTTTATGTCTGTAATTTGCATATATTGATCAATTAAATGAATAGGGATCTATTCCTTCAAATTTCGACCAGAACGACTTGTATAAGTTTGGTATGATCTCTGCCAGTTTTCAAGATTGACACAATTTTGTTATTAAATATGATATTTTACTTCAGTGTTTATGTCTGAAATGCCCCTTTTTTCTTTTAAAATCTCACACAATTTAAATGTGGGTGCTTGACATTCAAAAAGATAATAAATAAATGGATTTTTTTTATAATTTTATGCTGAAAACTTTGTTCTTCCATTCATTTGCTCTTCTACCTGAACTGCATTTTTTATGCGCCCAGCTATCCAAAATTTTTGTGGATCCGGAATTTGACATTTCATGAATTCTCTGGATAGTTGAGCTTTTACTGTCTTTGAAATACTAAGCACTTTTATATTCTTAATGTACTCTAGGATTTGCAAATAATGAAACAAAAGTTATCCACTTTTCTGAATCCTGAAATGTTATGAAATACTTAAGGGTGTTCTAACAAAGAATATTGACTTTCTTTGGTTCTAATCCTCTCGGCATGAAACTATATATCATTAAAGAAAACGAGATGAAAAAATACAACATTGAAAAGTGCAGCTACAATGTGTCAAAAGAATTTGAATGGTGACACATATATTTTTGGCATATAAAATTGTTTATATGAATGTTCATAGAATATTAAGTTAAAGATTGTAAATAATGTATATAAGTGAATACATAATAAAAGATTATAAATACCATGAAGATTCCATTTTTGGACCCCGAGATTACTAATTCATCATACCCTATAATCCTTATTTAATAACTCAAATCTGTGATTAAGACACAAATCTGTATTTTAGATCTATATCAAATCTGTATTTTAGATGATAATATTTGAGAACATATGATAAATAGAAATAGTTTAGGGATCTTAAAAAGTTCCAAAAATCACCAACTTGCACTCTATAAGAAACTTTTACCTTTTCATTTACAAATATTCATCAAGTTACACCAAGGTGGTTGCATTAATGGCTAAGTACCAGATTTCCTTTGAGAAGGTTTTCAAAACAGAAGAGCAACCACAGTTTCCATTCTCAGACTAACACCGAAGTCAATTTAATGCCATCAGTCAACATTTTATCAAGAACTGGATACTGTAATTAGTTTATAGAGATTTTCTTTGAGATATTTGCACTGTCAGGATAGAAAAGGAATCAAAGTTTCTAGGTACCAATACTGCCTTCAAAGTAATTTTAGTAACACCATTAGTTCTCACTTAGAGGTAAAATGCAAATATTGAAGTTTTTATGGCCCTTGGACATTATCCAAAGCTAGAACAAGTGTTAGAAGTGGTGATATGCGACCACAGTATGTTTCTATATTGTAACTATGTCTTTGATCTTCAGCATGTAGTAGGGAAAAAAAATTTATTATCTTTCAAATCTCAACAGTGAACTGAATAAAATATACTGAAATTCAGAGATGATGAGTTCAAAATCTAGCACAACGAATGAACTTTCTGTTGATGAATGAACCCTTCACTCCTCTTTTATATTTTAACACTATATTACAGAGAATGGTTAAGTTGTAACTATCAGTAATAAAAATATCAAGACAGCCAGATTATTTCCCTAGCTATCCAGAATAAAAGTAACATACTGTTGTGAACATGCAGTGGCTGAGCGGCTGATCAGTGAGATAACTTCCCCACAAAGCAGTGCTTGAAAATGGCAGAGTCACCAGATTTGGTGACAAAATTGACAATTTGTCATAGATGGAGTGAGAACATTCTAGAAAACATTTTTACCATTTTCTTCAGGAATATTTGTAAAGGTAAATTAAAGCTATATACCTTGTCTGTATAGGGAGAAAGTAGTGTGAGTTCAGAGAATGAGAGTGATCGCTAAAGTTGGGATCTGTAGGTGCTTTGAAATGAAGCTGTGTTCACTATTATACCTGAAGGCTCTGTTGCTGATCGTTTCAATATGTTTGTTGTACTTTTTCAATGAGTGTAAACGTGCCTTCAGAACTGTCCTGTGTTATAGTGCCTACTGGCAAAAAAAAAAAAAAAAATTTGTTTTGATTCTTCATCAAGTGCTGTTATAATTACTAGAAATCCACAAACCCATAGAATGC